ATGCGTAATCAAAGAATGTTAAGGGTGTGTCGGTGTGTTTATTGAGGTGCATCAACATTGGCAATGACAGTGACAATGACAATCTTTATTCATCTCACAGGGAGAAATTTGTCTTGGTCATTTACAATGGCAGTGGATGTTACAAAGGTAAGGTGGGCTCTCGCATATACACAACAAGACAGGACATTAGTAAATGCATGTTTTACGTGTTGAAACAACCCGTTCCGTAAAGCATTCTCTCTCTCTCTCTCTCTCTCTCTCTCTCTCTCTCTCTCTCTCTCTCTCTCTCTCTCTCTCTCTCTCTGTTTCATTTGTAGCACTGTGTGTTCAGTAACCTCACAACAGTCGGTACGAATGAAATACTATGTCTGTCTGTTCTTGCTTTCTTGGAAATGTATCGTTAACTGTTGGTGGAATGGACATGTATTGAATGTCAAATAATTGGAGAATATTATTGTCTCTGCAATGAGCAATATCGTTTTCGATATTTTCAAAAATATTGGAAAACAGAACAGTCTCAAACACCACGCAAAACCTGGACTTAACTTTTAAAGTGTTATTAGAATTTTGTTTAGAAGCCATTAGATAAGTAGGGCACGACTCCTTTGTGCGCATGCACTGTGTTAGTTAGGGTAGCCCATAATCATCGGTCACTGAGGAACAGAATCCAAGAAACTGCCATAATTTAGGTGATCTACCTGGAATGAACAAAATGGCAACCGTGAGAATCAATCAACAGTAAGCTTCGTTTAGAGCACTACGCCATGCAAGTTCTGGAACGTCACGTGTTACCCATATTTTAGTCGTGGTGTCATTCAAGTAGACATCTCCATGTACGACAAAGCATATTCTCACAGGGCCAGCATCTCCCGACAATTCTTGGAAAATCAAACCATACCAAATGGTGGAGTGGTCACAAGTAAATAGCCCCGTTTCGAAATCTACTGATACGTTGAACCCGCGGCTTCCTCAGTCCTGAGAAAGCCTAGGTTGAACCCCACGAAACAGAAGCTGAAGAATCACAGCTTGACGCCCAATCGAGACAGTTCTGTTTGCAACTCTCTGTGACGTGGATGAATGAAATGACAAATGTGACGCAGCGTGGTGGAATCAGGCTCTCGTCAATTTTTGGGCATGTAGAGTTATTGGTATCATCTTAAAGCTTGTTCACTTGTCCTTACTTGAATGAAAAAAATATCTTTTTATCTTGAATACAAGTCGAGATATTTGCGAATGAAGAAGGAGGGGGTGCCTGTTTTCAGAGGTAAAATTAGTGAGAAAATGGCCGCCAAAGAATAGTTATTTCCTTAACTTTAGAGTCCCCGGTAACTGAAAATTTACATTTTTGTGTGCCTTTAATCAACATTTTAAAGAAAAACCCAGACAGAAATGAGTTCTTTAACGGGCATGAAAGATGTTGAGCCAAAAAACAAAAATTTGATAAAAATTCACACACCTACGGAAAAATTCAAGTTCTTCACTTTGATTATTTTGACGAGAGCCTGATTCCACCACGCTGCCTCACAAATACCAAAATGACCAACATTTATCAGTCCATGACCAAAGGGTTTGTGCTCTAAGCAAAACCAATGGTACCTCAACAAAATATTAATAAGCAGTGGCGAAGGCTGACTTGTTTGACAGGGTAATCAAAGAGACACCATGAACGAAATACAGATAAAGTCATACACAAAAAGTTTTCCCAGAACGGGAACATAATGAACAAAACTTCTTATTTCAAGGTGGCATCACTAAATTGTAAATGGAAACAAATCGTTAATTCATGTTGTTTAGGAAAAACATAATTATAACATTTAAACAAGCTATATAACGAATTACCTAAAGATGTTTAAGCAGTAAATGTAACTAAAGATGTGAATACGCGAACAGGAGTCAAAGAAACAGAGATGACAATACTACAAAA